ATAATAATATATTATTATTATGGCAACCGACCTATTATTCTGAAGCATATAAGAAGTCAAGCCAAGGAATGAAGAACTTTCTATTCCAATATATGAAGTATCGTGCCCGTGTTAAAACACTGTACTGAGCAGCAAACGTACAATAGTATTATCATTATAGACCACATCAATTGACGTATTTTTGTCTCGGCTTTACTCAGACCATCGTGCTGTCACGACGCCGTGGAATCAGGCGCTCGGAAATGTCTGTGAATGTGGAGTTATTGGTGTCATCTCAGTTCATTTATCTTGCTTTTGATGAAAAAAAAATACCCATCTATCGTGAGCAGAAGTGAAGATATGTGTGATTGAATGAAAGAGGTAAGTTCACTTGATTTGACGGTTAGTTTTTTTTACAGCTTTGTTCCCAGTGAAGAACTGGCCTTGATGTGCTCGTGGTTCAGCTAATGACGTAATGAGTCGTTTTCAAACCGAGCCAGTTCACTCAGTGCCCAATACAACCGTCCAAAATGGAGGGCAATGACGTGTCATCATGGCCGCGCCTCGTCTGTCCACAACTCCGTGATGAACGACCAACACAGGTGGAAAATTCCAGTTATACGCTCAAGTGAAGAGTTTTCAGAAGTGACGATCTGCAGAGATATATCTGCCACTACATACTAAAATAGAATGATCACAAGAACTAGATAGCTAGATTTTATTTGTACAATCAGATTTTATGTTTACTTTGATAACACATACGATTCATTTTTGTTCGGAAAAGAACTCATCAGCTGTGGGAAGCAGAAAGATAACACTATAAAAACTAAGAAAAAAGGGAGATTGCTGAGTCAGCAGCTTTGACACAGTAACAGCAGCGTGTGAACACATCCTGTTTGTGAGGCTGGGAAAGAGAGAAGAAAAAGAGAGTCTGGGTCGAGGTGTGTGGGGCTGTCATGATCGGAGTCCGGAGGAAAGACAGGTCAAAGGTGAGTAGGTCCAGAGTAGAAACTTTCTTTCCAATAAGTCCTGGCAAGTGGCCAATTATGCACTGGTAGTGAGGAAAGGGGTGAGGGTGAGAGGTGGGGGGGTGTTACTGTCCTCGCCAAATTTTGTATATAATATGCCGTATTTTTATTTCAGATGGACATCTAAGCCAAATACACAATATACATGCGATCTAGATCTGGAGAGATGTTTGGCGTCACATGAGGAAGTCAGTAATGATGATAGCCTGATGTTGTCTGGCTGTTGCTTAGCTCTGTGCGCGCGGTGTAGGAGATCAGTTGCCCGGAGACAGCAACTGTTGGCCAACTAAAGCTGTCCTGTGCGCGCGGTGTAGGAGATCAGTTGCCCGGAGACAGCAACTGTTGGCCAACTAAAGCTGTCCTGTGCGCGCCTAGCTGTAGTCGTGGTTGCCGCGCAATTCTACGATCGTCCAAACGCGCAGCGCAAGCCGATGGTGACTAGCGCGAAACATGACGCACCACGCAGCACCACGTTTCCCGGAATTACCAGACTTCTAGGGAATATTGAAGCTACCGGGAATATTGAAACTATGCGGAAATTGTTCACTACGAAGAAAATTGAAAGGCTTGGTCTAGTCATCATCATCATCATCATCATCATCATCATTGCCTTTCTCACGCTGCAGCAGGGGGGAAGCATGTCAGTTTGTCCCAGGCCTCGACTGTACCCTGCATGATGGAAGTTGTCACCGACACTCAAAAAAGAGTCAATGATTGATTGATTGATAATATGAATTGAATTTTATTTTTCAATAGTTTTCAACGAAAGAACATCCATCGGTGCAATGTTACAGAGTAATTTAAGTTTGCTTTGATTTGCATACAAAAAGGAAGAAATAATGAACAACACAAGCTGAATTGACATTTTAGAGGGACTATCTGTACACCCCCAATTTGAAGGTGGAGAATAAAAAACTTAAGTTACAACTACAGTGTTAAAGTGCTGTAATTACGACTTTCATCAAATCTCAAATATTTCAATGAAATTATGACAAACTGGGCAGCCCCCC